TACTTTATAATTTCAGCAGTATTTTCAAGATTCATATTTAGCTCCCTGGACTTATTTAACACCTATCACATTCAGGCAAGTTGGGAAATAATGAAACTAGTATTGGTCGCTTTCGCAGTTGTATAATTTAGTTTTCTTACCTTCTTCTTGAATTGATCCAGTTCATTGTAATCCAGCTTGGATCGCGGGTTGTCTTCATATATGATTCCCCATTTATGACCGGATTGTGGTTTCGAGCACATCAGGAATTTTAGGTTATCCATTCGCCAAGCGCCGCGTTGGGTGGTAACTGTTCTACCTTCCCAATATTCCATATATGGAGTTGGCAAGATACGTATTGGAACTTTTATAAAATTGGTACCAATTTTAATGCCAAATGACTGAACTAATATGCTGGCGTTGAGATTGAAATACTGCAACATATCCATAATTTTTTCCTTACGACGATTGGTCGATGTTGCAGCAAATCGAATCATCTTCTGTACTTGTTTCGAGTCTTTTCGCTAAACAATTGCCATGCCCATAAAAACACAAGAACAGAGGAACATCGTTTTGTATACTTACATTCAAAGCTTGACCTTCAGCAATGGTACAGAATTCCATCGGTAAATATATTGAGCGAACTGAAGAACCAACTTTAAGACAATTTAAATTTGGATACTCAAGTGGACTTCCACGAGACCTGAAGTATGCATCAACAGTCATCTCCGTGCCCTCATCGTTTTTAAAACGTATTTTCGTGGCTGATTCCCCAATTCCCATTACTTTGTACTTTTTATCAAAACTTCCAAATGATTTTGGCGGTTTATACACAATATCAATTCCCTTCAGGTAACGTTCTACATCTCCGTATTGGTATCTATTAAAAGGTTGTCTCGGGTCAATTCTTTCGTTTGACAAGTAATCAATTAGATGACATTCACGAGGGAACGATTTGTGGGCAATATCCACATTAAGAAATGGCTGTTCACCCAAAATAGCGGCTTGGAACAAACCAGTCCAGGCTTCATATCCATTTTCCAAATCAACAGGTTGTTTTGGTTTACAGAAAAAGGAACGTCCAACACGAACGCTTCGCTCATGATTATTTCCGGACAAAATTACATCCAAAGCTTGCAAGGCTCTCATTGGTTTGTCAGAAACTTTGTCATTGTGGTAGCTGCGAGATGGAGACATTAAAAAGGATACAACAAAATTCGCTGGTTATTTCGACTTACGTTCGAAGTGAATTAAGATCCACGACACAATCATTCGTTTCCTTAATCTCTACTTGAAACTCTTTCATACGATCGCCAGAATCTGGAACCTTAAAAAATACGTTGCACTTGTTGCATTCTGCAGTATAATTATGTTACGTACCAGAATTTTACATTCGATTGGGCCCGGGAGACGCACTGGGGTATAACAACTCTTTCTGCCATCAAACGCTGCCTCAATGCCGTTAAAATATTCTCGTTTGCACTGTTCAAAAGCAGGACGCATCATTTTTTTTGGTCGATCAGGTGTTATTGTTACATCGTAGTGATAGGCCTCGTTGGGCATATTATCCAGAATCAACCTCAAATAATTCACTTCCACAACTCCTGGTCTACCCAGGGTTCCGCGAACAATTCCAGCACAATATTTTGGTTTATTCGGTAGTTCACCTTCTGGAAGAGGCAATGTATAAAAGCATTAGCGGCTGTAGATAAAGTATGAATTCAATTTACCCTCCGACAGTGATAGCTTCTGGAATGATGCTTCAATTTGTTGATGTCCACCACCTTGCCGTGGTCCCGGACCTCTCTGCTGTTGTTGCGGTCCCTGATTGCCGCCCCGTGAACCTTGTTGTGGGCCAGGACCTCTTTGCTGTTGTTGTGGACCTTGATTACCGCCCCATGAACCTTGTTGCGGGCCAGGGCCCCTTTGTTGTTGTTGTGGGTCAGGGCCTCTTTGTTGTTGTTGTGGACCTGTTCCTCTTTGTTGTTGTTGCGGCCCCTGATTACCGCCCCATGAACCTTGTTGTGGACCTGGTCCTCTTTGTTGTTGTTGTGGACCTGCTCCTCTTTGTTGTTGTTGCGGCCCCTGATTACCGCCCCATGAACCTTGTTGTGGATTAGGACCTCTTTGCTGTTGTTGTGGGCCAGGACCCCTTTGCTGCTGTTGCATACCCTGATAACCTTGTTGCGGACCGGGACCTTTCTGATGTTGTTGCGGCCCCTGATTACCGCCCCATGAACCTTGTTGTGGGCCTGGGCCCCTTTGTTGTTGTTGTCGACCAGGTCCCCCTTGTTGTTGTTGTTGCGGCCCCTGATTACCGCCCCATGAACCTTGTTGTGGGCCAGGACCTCTTTGCTGTTGTTGTGGACCTTGATTACCACCCCACGAACCTTGTTGTGGATTAGGACCTCTTTGCTGTTGTTGTGGGCCAGGACCCCTTTGCTGCTGTTGCATACCCTGATAACCTTGTTGCGGACCAGGACCGCTTTGATGTTGTTGCGGACCCTGATTAGCACCACTTGTCCCTTGTTGTGGACCGGGACCTCTTTGCTGTTGTTGCGGACCTTGATTACCACCACTTGTACTTGGTTGTGGACCTGAACCCTTTTGCTGCTGTTTTCCACCCTGCGCACCTTGCTGTTGTGGCTGCCCTCCTTGACCTATATGTAGAGAAAATGTCTTGAATCCGCCAACAAATATTGTGGCTACGAAACCGGGAACATTGAAGATACGTACCAGCTTGAGAAGTACTCTGGGATCCAGCTTGCGGAGGCTGGCTTTGTTGCTGTGGCTTTCCTTCGGATTCATTTCCCGTTTGCTTATATTCTACAAACACAATAACAAACGATTTCATCATGCAATGAAACAAACATGCAAATAAATTTCATCCACATCCAGACAAACCAACCAACCCACGAAATACTTACTATTTTTTTTGCCCATACTTGCAGAAGAATATATTTATTAATAAATATATAAATTTGTTTTTTTAATCAAGATTTTCAGATAAATTCAATCACTTTGTGATACGGAAACGAAAAAATATGTTGCGTCTTTGTCTATCGCTGGCTGTTGCTGTGTGTTGGTTGGATTGGTGAATTCAGGGTATTTATACTCTGATGTTCAGAGTTGCCATTCTATTTCTTTTATAACAGATAATTTCTATAAATTTATTTATTTTTGGGTAAATAGATTGTATTATAATTTTTAAATCAATGTAAACAAAAAATGCAAAGTAAAACTATACTTCGTGCGCGGAAAAATGTATACTAAGACCATAAATGCCCCAAACATACTTCAAATAGTATTTCATTTAGCACGGCAACCCTTTTCGTGGTGAAATGGCACGTATCTGTCTCACAATTTGTGTGTTTCCCCCATTTTGAAAAATGTAATGAAGATATGACTCATATTTTTGCAAATGATTTTTTTGAACAAAATTTGTCTCAAAAAGTGCCGGTCCACACTAGAGTAATTTCATGTGTTCGACTGTACATGAAATTTGGCGAACTTATAACCATACAGTAACTTTAAAAAAACACTCAAGTGGGTCTACGATGTATTCTAGTTTTTTCATTGAAATATATTAGAGTGAATATGTCAATAACAGTTTTGCTAAATATAACTTTTAATATTAATATATTTTATAAAATGTTTTGGACATATTCTTTCAGAAAATGTTATAAATTATGTTGTCGAAATAAACCCTTCCAAATTAAGAGATTTGCCATTTATAATTCTGTGTTTTTAGTATTTTGGTTTCAAATTACAATGCCTTGATTTAATCCATGATGCAATAATAAGGTGACGTATATCGAAGAAAATAGTAAAATGTAGTAGGTTCTTGTAGTACGGGAACAGCCCATTTTTTTTGTCTCGACCATCTGTCAAATTGTTCTTTATAATATTTCACATGGTTGGCAACTTTGCACATCGAACTCAAGTAAAATTCATGATCCAATAAACAGGTCGTGTCAGAAGCAATCGTTATTGACAATTTTGGATTAAAATCCCCCAAGCTGTCAAATTTTTTGTTTACGTTTTCACACAATTAAGTCAAAATTGAAAGCATTTTGACAGCTCGGGTGAAATCATCTGGCCTTATCGGACGACTTATTATTGGATCATGGTAAAATTAACCACTTTGACAGTTAATCGAGACATCAGCTGTGTTAAATGGACTACCTATTTATCGTGCCTTGATTTAATCGAACGAAGCAGTTCAATTGAACGATTCACAGAAAAGAGCGTATGAATTAGTTCCGACTGTATAATTCCACTTAAGGTACATTTAGATTTACGAAATCTAAACGTACCACTCGAACTCAAATGTCAATTCCATTTCTTAGGATTAACGTGACGTATACGCAATGGAATTGACATTTGAGATCGAGTGGATTTAGAAGTCTAAATCATGGAATAATTATTACAAGGTGGGGCACAGCTACCAACTGATTACAAGTTTTCTCAAGGTGGCTTGTTCCATCAAATCAAAATACATATTTTGTGTATGTATGTGTATTGTCAAGTTTAATTGAAATGAAAATGATGTTTTTAACACGTTCGTCTGGAAGTAAATACTTTGTTATGGATGGAACACACATTTTATGGTGCATTCGCAAAACGAATGTTCGCATACACATAACAAACAAGTGCGAGCGCACAACAACGATGGCTCGTTTCGTTTGGTGGTTGAAATTCTCTCTGACATTCGCTCACGAATGAAAATAAACATTCGCGAATGCTCACGAATTCTTAAAACAGCAACAAGAATAACAAACGTTCGTGAACTCAATAGTTGTTGGGACGTGTTTTGTTATTCCACACATGCTCAACACTTTCTGCTACACACACATTTGTTTGTTGTTTTTAACACCGATCGCGAGCATTCCCGACCATTTGTATTTTGAATTCATGATAAATTGAATTCTCGCCGTGAGCATTCGTGAGAAAGAGCGTCGATATAACTTGACTTTAATCTATTGTTTATCGAACCTCCATAACAAAAATGATTTATAATGGTACCCTCCAATATTCGGTAACGACGTTTTCATGTATTCTTTATAATATTGAAAGGTTACGGGAACAATTTCCTTAAAACCAATTGAAAACTTTAACTCAAGACCTATCTATTTGAATTGTATTTGATTTAAAATGTAATGTCTAAAATGAATAAAAATGGACATGACTTCGATACCATTGTGAATAGTTTTCTGCTTTTAATGCATACGTGATAGACAATTTTTAGAATTTGAAATATTTTATTATAGGGTAAGTTTTTTTGCCATTGTATGCGATTTGGGGGTACTAGAGCTATGTATCACATTGAATACGTGTTTTAACTTATAGTACCATACCATAATAGTATATGCAAAGGCCATTTCTAGTAGGAGATGATTTCATCTAAATTAACAACGATTTACATAAGATTCTTTGATGACGAATAAAACAGTTTAAAACTCTGTGGTTTTATGCAAATTGCCTGATTTGTGTTTTTGTTTTTTATTATTATTATTATTGTATATATATATTTTTTTGTTAATATAATTCAATATTATAATAAGAATAATCATAATGTTTATCATCGTTTAATATGTATATAAGTTAAATAAATTACAAATACTCACTAGTAAAACATGTAAAACGGAGTAGGGGGTTTTCACTTTTGTTCTCTCAAAAGAGAACAACAACAAATCATTAGGTGTGAAGTTGAAAGTGACAGTCAGTCGAATGTAGCAATTCGATGTATGTATGTACTTACTTGTAACCATCCTCTATACGTTTGGTTGTACGTTTGTAGTTGCCTGGCTCCCAAAACGATTCACTGCCAGCTTCTAATAATTGATCATCGCTGTGGTGCGACATTTTCTAAATGTGGACAAAAATTTAAATGCAAAAAAAAAAAACACGATTCAATGAATAATGATATAATCATATATTGCTTTACATTATTTTTATTTTAGATGAATTTATATATATTAATTGGAAGTGGCATCATGTGTTTCGTTAAGTTTTAAGTTTTACTCCTCGTGAGTTACATCCCAGACTCCTTCAGCATGAAATCTAATTGATTTAATATTGTTAGAGCGGTTTTCATATTTGGGACAAGCACATGTAGATATGTCGGATTAAAATTGGCAAGGGATTTTGGATGCTGAACATTTTATCTAATATCTTTTTTACTCCTTGCAATTGTAGGTCAAAAATGAAATATGATTTTTAAAGAAAATATTCATATTAAATTAAAAATTGCAATTTAGTTGCATTCAAATGTATTTATTGAATAATAACTCAAATGTTTTGAATTTCATCTGTGGATATTTGGGATTATTTACTATTTTTGCATCATACATAGGTGATCGTTATACATATATAGAATACATATATCTTTATTGAAGAGCGCTCTCTCAACAATCTTCCATTTATTCAACTTTTTTCTGTACTCTTCTCTGTTCCGGGCAATATCTCCATATACCCTCTTGAAATAATCTTCAATTAAAAGTGATAAAGAATTGTTAAGGGTGTTATCGGAGAGAGGGTCCTACTACTCTAAGGCATTTAATTAATTTTACAATGACAAATACCACAAGAGTTAAGAATGAACAACTACAACAACTCTATTTTATCGTCGGTGGTGCTGGTGGTGGTGGTGATTGTGCTATTTTGACGTTACTAATCGTCGTATCTGCGAGATAGCCCCGCTATCTCGCAGATACGACGATGTCTTTTATTTGAACAAAATATGAATGGTTGTTAATATCTGCGAAATGAGAAATGGTTATTGGCGCCGCTAACGAATTCAAGAGTTTAGAATCTGATTTGATCTCCTCACAGCAAATGCCTTACTACCGGCCCACCCCACCCACTCCACGGTCCTTCCGCTCGCAATGGAATGTGCCCACTTACATAATTCACTGCTGGAGTAGGGTATTATGTTATTATTTTGAGGGAACAAGTCTAGTTTAGGGGCTCCACTCGGATCGCTTTGAAATTTTTACCGTAAGTAGTCCTCGTTGAGCTGATTACAGTGATATATATTTTATGTGGGGGAAATGCATACTTCCCGAGATATGGGCCTTGAAAGTTCGGAGAATATCTTGATTAAAACGGCCGTTTTAGTAATGCCACAAAGGCAATATGGGTATCATTTTAAAGCTTACAACGAATGCGCATACATGGCTACGCAATCCAAATCCTTTTTTAAGAGCAATTTTTAAATCAAATTTAAGGTTATTTAAGTAGCCGGCCTTCGGCCGGGGCTTAAGACTTTCACCTATGGACAGGCGCATACATGGCTACGCAATCCAAATCCTTTTTTAAGAGCAATTTCCAAATCAAATTTAGGTTTTTTTAAGTAGCCGGCCTTCGGCCGGGGCTTAAGACTTTCGCCTATGGACAGGCGCATACATGGCTTCGCAATCCAAATCCTTTTTTAAGAGCAATTTTCAAATCAAATTTAAGTTTTTTAAGTAGCCGGCCTTCGGCCGGGGCTTAAGACTTTCACCTATGGACAGGCGCACACATGGCTACGCAATACAAATCCTTTTTTAAGAGCAATTTTCAAATCAAATTTAAGGTTTTTTAAGTAGCCGGCCTTCGGCCGGGGCTTAAGACTTTCGCCTATGGACAGGCGCATACATGGCTACGCAATCCAAATCCTTTTTTAAGAGCAATTTTCAAATCAAATTTAAGGTTTTTTAAGTAGCCGGCCTTCGGCCGGGGCTTAAGACTTTCAACTATGGACAGACGCATACATGGCTACGCAATCCAAATCCTTTTTTAAAAGCAATTTTCAAATCAAATTCAAAGTTTTCTAAGTAGCCGGCCTTCGGCCGGGGCTTAAGACTTTCACCTATGGACAGGCGCAAACATGGCTACGCAATCCAAATGTTTTTTCTTTCAATTTTAGTTAATATTATATAATTTACAATGATATACTATATTTATTTTTAAAGCACTATTCAAACCCTTTAAAATGATACCCATATTGCTTTGGTGGCATTAGTAAAACGGCCGTTTTAACCAAGGTATATTCCAAACTTTCAAGGCCCATATCTCGGGAAGTATGAATTTCCCCAAAATAAAATATATATCACTGTAATCAGCACAACGAGGACTACTTACGGCAAAAATTTCAAAGCGATCCGGGTGGATTGGAGAATGTCTGATAAACGACCAGATCTAAACAAAACGTGGAAACCACACATCAGTTTACGAATGTGGTGTAATGCATAATTCCCAATTTCATTATGTTGTTTAGAAAGAGACATGACATGGAATGTCAATCAGCTGATCGAGGTATTTAAGTCGACTTTCCACTTATCGATTAATCGATTTTTTATTTAATGCGGTGTACACTGTGAGCAAGAAATTGGAACAAAAATTCTGCTAGGACCATCGATATTCCAAACATGGGCGGGGCCTTCATTTGGGGCTTATGTCAGAACATGGGAAACCACTCTTACTTATGGTATGTTCTCGTGCTGCAAGTATCTACAACTTTTTACTACGATAACTAATTTTCCTTTATGTTATCGAAGAAAATAGTAAAATCTAGTAGATTCTTGCAGTACGGGAACAGACCATTACTTAGCTGGCTTATGACAGAACGGCTGTTCCATAAGCTGAGCTTAAATAAAGATTTCCAGACGCGTCGTTCTTGTGCGTATCTCATCCAATTTGATAGACCATTTTTCGTGATGTTGTCTTCTACCTGATCTTTCCATCGGATTCAGGGCCTTCCCCATCTGCGTGAATCATCATTTCGCTCGCTTTTATATGCCTTTTGAGCTGGGACATATTCATCCATAGCATAGCTCATGATTCATTCGACGGTGATATTCAATTCAAATTTTTGTATTTCTTCCTCGCACCCCTCTCGCCTACAAACTCAGTATTTGCCAAATAAAAATTTGCCTATGGAAAAGCAGACTCTCAAACACTCCAAGAGTTGCCATATCTGCTGTGCAAGTACCAATGATTCGGATCCATACAACATCACGGGTAATACCAGCGTCTCGTTGAGTGTGAGTTTGGTCTGGCGAGAGGTGGCCTTGTTTCTAAACTGCTTACTTAAACCATAGTAGCATCTGTTGGCCAACATTATTCTCCTTTGGATTTCAAAGCTGATACTATTAGTTTTGTTTATGGCGTTACCGAGGTATATAAAATCGTCGACTGCTACAAAGCTGTAGCTTTCAAGTTCCACAGTCGGTCCGAGTCTATTGGACGTTTTGCGCGTTGATACCATCAGGTTTATCTTTTCGCACTGATATGGTCCAATAATGTCAATGACCATTGGCTTCAGTCGTTAACACAGCACATAAAGTGCTATCCAGCGTGCATTATACCATACTAACAACCCATGGTATAATAATAGAAGGTAACAGCAAGTGTTGTTGTACAAAAAACGATACAACAATCACATGGAAATTTGTTGTTGTAAGTTCTACTAGTGTCACCTCATTTGACAAAAAAATGTAAACAAACAAACAAATTATCATCAAATTATTTTTATTTTGAAAATGAAATATTTTTGAATCCTCAAAATAAAAATTGAAAAACATGAAATGTATATTTCTATCGCTTCCACATCTTTCCTATAATTGAGCCATTACCATATATATGTGTAACACATATGAAAATGCTGGGAATAGCGAGTGGTTCCTTGAAGAAAGATTTGCTTCCTCAAACTTTCCCAGCAGGCAGATTGATTTAATTGAATACGGGAGGACATTTAATAAAGAACAAATTCGAATTGAATGCGTTCCCAGATTTCCTGTTGGGTGATTTTTAAAAACATAATTTGTCAAATTCATATTGACACTACTTGGAATAAAATCAGCTGGGATTTGCTGTTACCTTTAATAATTGTACCATGCTAATGCCATGTACAGACGAGCGTTGTTCGCTTTCTCATCCGTTGTTCGACCCTTAATTATGAAGGAATTACTTATTTCCCCATACAAAATTGTCCGAGCGAACACCGACTTTTGTACGTTGTTCAATTCGAATCACTCTCTGAATAACCAATAAAATTGTCCCATCCCTAACAATTGAGAGTATTTATCGAAAATAAATTAATTTTGACAGTTTGAAAATATTTATGAAATTTTCAAACTTTTTCAGTACAATTGAAAATCATGAATGAAAAGTAAAAAATTGTATAGTTTTTATATATGCAGCAGGATGTAAATTTTGTTTTCTACATAATGCAATATGCATTTCTTTTCCCTTGGTTCTAATTAGCGTACAAAACAAGAAACAAATGTGGGGCAACTCAAACAAAAAATTCTCCAAATTTTTATTTGTGACAGTATGTGACATTTGAATTGAGAAAATATAAAAATGTATTAAAAACAGCAACATTTTCAGAAAAAATGGAAAACATGAATGAAAAGTAAATAGATATGGGTTCATACTATAGTCAGGAGAAAGAGAATTATTTTTTCTATTTAGATCCCTATGTAATTCACTAAAATATGTTACATTTTTGGTGTAAAACAAGAAACAAAGAGTTTGAAATAAAAAACTCTGATGATATGAATTATGAATAGTGTTGTATGAACGGGTTAATTCATGTACGTAATTCTGAGAGCGAACTACGTTGTTCGGATGCCCGTCAGAACATGGCATAACAACCATTCATCCCTAACCTTTGGTCTGTTCCCGCACTGCAAGAATCTACTACTTTTTATTACGATAACGAAATTTCCTTATGTTATCGAAGAAAATAGTAAAATCTAGTAGATTCTTGCAGTACGGGAACAAACTCGATCATTTCCTCCGAGACTCATTCCCAAATGTATTTTGTTGGGCTTTCCACTATCCGCAACGGAGATGAATCCAATAGCATTCATCTCCGTTTTTTGTAATCTGGTATAAACATGACATAAGTCATTAATCAATAGATGTTATCGATAAAATTGTCATCGAATTGGTGTCACCTCTATTTGACATGTGTTTGTTTTGATACACAATTTCTTCTTCTGTTCCAAAAAGAATACGAAATTAAATTTATAAGTGAAATATTTCACATCTAAACAAATCCAAAAATCAAAACACAACAAAATGTCTAATCGCGACTACGCCGAACTACGTAATGATGATAAATTCATCAACTGTGTGGAAAATTTCGATGCCAGTTTGGACAAAATTGAGGCAGACCTGCAACTGGCATGCGGTTTCAAGGATTACGATGAGCTGTCGACCCAGGAACGTGTAAAACTGGACAATTATTTGGCCTATTCCATAAATTCGTTGTATTGGATGTATGTCAAATTGCAGGGCTTGGATCCAAATGAGGTAAGTGGAATTAATACACAGTTTGGGTATGAATCGAAATTCATGCAGACTTTGTATCTCTTTTTTCTCTAGCATGGTATAAAAAATGAGTTGTCGCGTGTGCGACAAACTATCTTGAGAGATAAACAAATCTATGAACGCAATACAATACGTCCCGTCTTGGATAAAGGTGCTGCCGGCCGTTTTATTAAACATGGTTTACACATACGTTATGACAAAGATGGCAAGCCGATACCAACGAATAATGATGCGTAGGATGATGATGATAACGATGTGTAGATGTAGTTATATATAGAATACTAATAATAAGAAATTGAACGGACTTTGAATACATAATTAAAATAACCATAGATTTCTTTTTATAGACAATAATAAAAGGAAAGGGAGGGTTTGTCAAAAAGAGCGCGAGAACAGGACTTTAAAAACTATATTATCCTAATAATCCCCCTTCCAATACTGGATGGAACAGCCCTAGAACTCTCCATTGAGGCGAAGTACCTCGGCAAAAGGAGAGAGGAGGAGTACCTCGGCAAAAAGAGAGAGAGGAGGAGAGGTCTCGTGGCGCTCTATTCAAGCAAGAACTATATAGGGAAAAGCTCTATTCAAGCAAGACCTCTATAGGCTGGAACAACAACTGTAGCGTTTTCAGTCAAATAATTATGGCGCAATGATCTTAGACCAGTGACTAAATATGTCGATAGTGAAGCTGTCCCACATGCTATAAATTCGCGGACTATAAATACCATACCATTTGAAAAAAAATTAAATTCAATATCAAAATGTCTGATTTGATCCAAACTTAGCAAATCGCAATATTTTTCTAAACTAACATTAAATTCCCATCGCATATAAAGTGTTATCCAGCGTGCTGTGTGAACGACTGAAGCCAATGACATTATTGGACCATACCAATGCGGCTTCAGGCCTGGCAAATCCACCATTGATCATATTTTCACTCTGCGCCAGATCATGGAAAAACCCACGGAAAACATATCGACACATTCCACCTATTCCTCGAATATGAAGAAACATTCGACAGCCCTATCCGTTCAGAGGTGTTTAAAGCCATATTTGCATGGCATTCCTGCAAAATTAATACGGATATGCAGAAAAATTTTAACTTTTACAATATCAGCAGTTAAATTAGGAAAGGACCTCTCGGAGCCCTTCAATACCGAACAAGGATTCAGACAAGGTGACAGTTTGTCGTGTGACATGTTCAACATCCTGCTTGAAAAGGTCATACGAGGTGCAAATGTGAACAGAAATGGCACACTGTACACCAAACAGCATATGTTACTCGCCTTCGCCGACGATATCGACATAATAGGTCGAACATTGCAAGCGGTAAGAGCCACCTTTGAACGAATTGAGAAGTCTGCCAAAGTGGGACTGGCAGTAAATGGCGAAAATATCAACCTGTTGGTATCAACGCGCAAGACGTCCAATAGGCTCGAACCAACTGTGGAATTTGAAAACTACAGCTTAGAGGTATTTAACGATTTTATATACCTCGGTACCGCCATAAACAAAACTAATAACATCAGCTTTGAAATCCAGAGGAGAATGGAGTTGGCCAACAGATGCTACTATGGTCTGAGTAAGCAAATCAAAAGCAAGGTCACCGCTCCCCCGACCAAACTCACACTCTACAAGAAGCTGATATTACTCGTGCTGTTGTATGGATCTGAAGCATGGGTACTTGCGCAAGCAGATGAGTCAGCTCTTGGAGTATTTGAGTGAAAAATTCTCGGGAAGATCTATGAGCCGATTTGCATCGATAGTGAATATTGCTGTCGAATGAACGAACCATGAGCTATACCATCTATTCTCAGATATCGACATAGTCAGATGGATCGAGCTGCAACGACTACGTTGGCTGGGCCATCTTGTGAGTATGAATGAAGATGCCCCAGCTCAAAAGTGGCATATAAAAGCGAGCCAAGTGATGGTTCGCGCAGATGGGGAAAGCCATGGATTCGATGGAAAGGTCAAGTAGAAGACAACATCTACGAAAATGGTCTTCTAAATTAGATGAGATGTGAACAGGACCGTTGCGCCTGGAAATCTTTTTTAAGTTCGGAATATGGATCAACCGTTCTATCATCAAGTCTACTTCGTGACCTCTGCAAACTATAGACTGGTGGTAAATATCTGTCGCAACACTGACTGTTTTAATTAAAAAAAAACGGCGCATATTTTAATATAACGTATAAAAAAAGTAAGGAAAGTAGGTCCAGTCCGACCGACTATATGATACCCTTTACCACTTTGGGTATATTGTACATATGTATCCTTACAATTGCATGTCAATGTTCCCTCGAAGAAACATACTCATGCCTTGATACACGCTATTCTGTACGTCGCACTGTTAAAAATTTAATCTCAGTCAGACACCCGTTTGAAACACACATGGTAGCTAGCTACATCTGCACTAATTTCAACACAACGCAATAATGTCATTCAAGTCTCAATCGCAAATCTAAATCGATGTTCCCGAAACATACCACACGCCATTCTAGACTCAATTCATGCAAATCGAAGGATATATAGGGATTTTGCTGCATCATTTACATAAAATCGGAGCAAAGTATTTTTGTGGAGCTATACCGAAATTTGTACCGATTTTCCCGAAACTTGTAAACATCATTCTAGGCTTAATTCAGTATGCTGTGCCAAATTTCGTGCACATTGAAAGATATTTAGGGACTTTGATGCACCATTTACCTTAAATCGGACTATTATATATATGAGTGCTATATATGAAAATCTTAACCGATTTTCATGATATATAGGATATATAGGGATTTTGCTGCACCATTTAAATAAAATTGGAGGAAAGTACATATGGGAGCTATACCGAAATCTAAACCGATTTCCCCGAAACTTAGCACACAACATTCCAGGCTTAATTCAGTACGCTGTGATAAATTTCGTGCATATTGAAAGATATTTAGGGACTTTGGTGCACCATTTAATCGGACGAAAATATATATGGGAGTTAAATCTGAATCGACTTTTCCCAATTTTAACAGGATTCGTCTTTGAACCAAATAAATGAGCTGAGCTAAATTTCATCCAATTCGATTCATAAATGCTACCTGTACTTTGTTTACAATTTAACATGGACAGACAGACGGACGGATGGACTGTCATGCATAAATCGACTTAGAAAGTGATTCTATGCATATTCTCAATAGGAACCACGGGTCTATCTCGTTTCCTTTTGCCTGTTACAAACATATGCAAAAAGACATAATACCTTGTACCACAGTGTGGTGAAGGGTATACAAATAAAATAAGTCAAGGGGCCGAAATGGTTACCTTTTGCCTTGCGGATGTCCATTTATTTTCAGAGTTTTAAAATAATAAATATGGTTATTATGGCTATGGCTAAAACATTTAAACTGAATGGGAATGGGTCATAGCGAAACTTTGGATGTCCATATATTTGCATGTATGGGTTATTAACATGCCCCCTAGGTATACATGAGATAAAAATTTCAAAATGATCCGCGACCGTTCTTTGAACTTAACTGAAACCAAAAATCTAGTCCCGTACTTTAGTGTTTTGTTGTTTCACTTGCTTTTCGATTCGAAGAGATTTTGTGCATAGTGCGTATAGTAGATACAATTCTTATTATAGAATTGAAATGAAGAACATTTCTAAAATGTCGTTCATTGTCCCCAACCGACAGAAAAAACTTTCACTTTTTTTCACAATGTAACAAAAAAACACAACACATCGCTCTATACTGTAGAGTATACAGATGATGGTGCCAGCAGAAATTTTCTTTATTTCGGGATACCACCCGGCATGATGTAAAATTAATAAATGAAAACGAAATTATATGGGTTCCAATGATACACAATACACACTATGTGTGTAGGTATTTACCCTGCAGTGAGGTGCAAATGATTAGGGGGGTGTGTTTTGTTTTTTTTTTTGCGCTGCTGCTGCTGTTCGTGGTGACGTTGATATTGAAAGTAAACGTGCCATCAACCAGCCAACCAACCATTCATATATATATATATATATATATTATTATTATATATATATATACATATGCATGGGCAATTTATACACACACCATCTGTATATGTACGTTGAGGGGGGCAATGATCTCCACCACACTTCTGGCCCAGCTACTTTTACTGTATTAGGAATTTGCGAGACGATTTGTTTCTGTGTGACATGCCTACATGCCTACATATACATTTGTGTACAAATGTGCTTGCTGGCAATATGACTTGTTTGTTTTTATGACGAATAACAACGGCTAGCGGTCGAACTGGAAGGTGACCTTTTGCCTTTGGAGTTTTAGAAATAAACAAACAAATAAGAATTTTAATGAAATGAAAATATATTTTCACAATATGACACAACATCATTTCTGCATGTGGGTACAATAACTTGGGACCAGTTAAAGGGCCCAGGGTTTTGAAATTTTTACCATAGGTACTTTCTTACTTAGCTGGCTTGTGACAGAAAGGTTGTTTCATAACCCGAGCTTTAAAAAAATGTCAAAGCACGTCAGTCTTGTGCGCATCTCATTCAATTTGAAAGACCATGTTCCAAGATGTTGTCTTCTACTTGATCTTTCCATCGGATTCGTGGCCTTCCCTTTCTGCGAGAAACATCACTTGGCTCGCTTTTATATGCCTTTTGAGTGGGGGAATTCTCATCCATTCTCACAACATGGCCTAGCCAAGGTAGTCGCCGCAGCTCGATCCATCTGACTATGTCGATGTCCGAGAATAGAGGGTATAGCTCATGGTTCATTCGACGACGATATTCACCGTCGATGCATATCGGCCCATAGATCTTCCGCAGAATTTTTTTCTCAAACACACCAAAAGTTGCCTCATCTCCTTGGGCAAGTACCCATGCTTCAGATCTATATAACAGCAGGGGTAGTATGAGCATCATGTAGAGTGTAAGTTTGGTCTGGCGAGAGGTGGCCTTGCTTTTGAGTTGCATACTCAGACCATAGTAGCAGCTGTTGGTCAACACTATTCTCCTACGAATTTCAAAACTGATGTTATTAGTTTTGTTTATGGTGGTATCGAGGTAAAAAAAATCGTTCACTACCTCGAATCTCTAGTGTTCATGTTCCACAGTTGGTCGGATTCCACTGGAGATCTTGATACACTCAGTTTGGTCTTCTCGCCATTTACTGTCAGACCCACTTTGGGCAGTCTCCTTTTGAATTCGTTCAAAGGTGGCTGTTACCGCTTGCAATGTTCGACCCATTATGTCGATGTAGGCAAGTAGGATATGCTGTTTGGTGTATAGAGTATCATTTCTGTTCGTATTTGCATCTCGTATGACAATGGTGGATTTGCCAGGCCTGAAGTCGCAATGGTATGATCCAATAATGCCATTGACCATTATTGGTCAATGGCATTATCTCCTTCCCATCGCACTTTATACGCGATGGGAAGGAGATTTGTTCTTCTGTATTTGGCCCATATCGTCTTGTCCCCTTTTTTGTGCACGGGACACAGGATGCTGAGGTTCCAATCATTGAGCATGCATTTCTCTAGCCAAATTGTACTACTTATCCGAGTCTACTAGACATCTTGCGCGTTAATACCATCAACTTGGTCTTCTCGCTATTTACAGCCAGAACCACTTTGGTTGGCTGTCGCCTTGTCTGAATCGTTCGTTCGGTATTGAAGGGCTCCGAAAGGTCCTTTCTGACCTTCTGTCACTTAAAGTTATCCTGCATAGCCACAGACATGGCTTTAAACACCTCTGAACGGATTTGGGCTGTCGAATGCGGCTTTATAGTCAATGGAATGTGTCGATGTGTTTTTGGTGGGTTTTTTCCAGGATCTGGCGCAGTGTGAAAACTTGGTCAATGATGGATTTGCCGGGCCTGAAGCCGCTTTCTTATGGTCGTTTACACAGCATGCGATAGGAAGTAGACTTATTACTCTACAGTTGGCACATATCGTCTTTTCTCATTTTTTGAGCAGGACCAAAGGATGCTGAGGTTCCAATCATTGAGCTTGAATTCATCTAGCAAAATTGTACTAATCAGCTGGTGCATGCTTCTGACCATCATCTGACCCTAGGACATAATCGTGTTCCGGAATAAATATAGTGGAAATTTTGTTAGATACATACCTGATAAAAAAATTGCTTCGGCGGTTTTGTGGACTGGCTTATCAATCAGTTGATTTCTTCATAAAGTAACTATGCAGTTGGCGAGTTCAGGAAATTTATATTGGTTTGTGTGCCAGTAGAAAGAACATAGTCCATTGATTAGAATACAACAAAATTGGCAACCATTTCACTAAAGATAAAAGCTATTTGATTATTTTCATGTTTTTTTCTGTTCGTCTTTGTTTTATTTTGGTCTTTTATTGTTAAATAATAAGGCGGCATTTTTGTTCTTGTTATTTAGGTAATCTTTGTTTATGCAAAAAAATTACAGCACACAGAGTACATACATACTCACACACATGTAAAATGATGCAACTCATTGTCCACAGACACACATATGGTTCTTTTCATGTTCTCGCTCGCCCACTCTCATACGTTGTAACGGTGGGGAATTTAGTACGCTGAGAGAGAGCAAGACAATTTCCCCCCCATTACATGAAATAAACTCCCCCGCTCTTTCTTTCTCTCTCTTCTACATACAGAAATCCCCAATTTACATTTTCTCTCCATTTAACGTTCTTCGTTAAATTTCTGTACCTATTGGAAAATTGCTCTCTATTGCAATTTTTTCCTTCTTTAGATTATATAAGAACTTTGCAAAAAATGATTAAAAAACATGTTATTTTTTTGTGTTTTTAGTAATGTTTTTTTGGATAACATTTATTTTGGTTTTATTAACGTTGTGTGTTTTTTGTTTAAATATCTACTAATAATTATAATCATATATAATTTTTAAATTATTGAATCGAGTAACAGAGAATTTCAATTTGTTTTCTTGATGATGTATCAGGAGGTGGATTGGTTATTTGATAATAGTTAACAATTAGGTTAATTTCCACATTTTATAGCTTAATTAATTTGTTGATAACTAAATGCTCAGCTCCTGGTCTGATGGATAGATGGATGTGCGTCTGTCTTTTTTGATAAGCATCTCATGTAAACTTGTTTCTTCAATTAATTTCTTGCTGTATCTTCTCATTTTTTTGGCTTTAAATCTCTAGAAATGTTACTTTGCAGCGTGTTACAGCGAATTACTTAAAATGTAATAATATTATAGTTTATCAACTTCTCCCACTTCCGCAATTTAATCCTTGGATTGCATGTATTTGATCAAGTCAATGACACGGTTGGAGTAACCGAATTCGTTGTCGTACCATGAGATCAACTTGACAAAGTTGTCGTTGAGGGAGATACCGGCCTTGGCGTCGAACACCGAGGAGTGGGTGTCACTGACGAAATCGGTGGAGACGACTTCTTCATCGGTGTAGCCCAAAATACCCTTCATGGGTCCATTGGAAGCTTCCAAAACCTTAGCCTTGATGGCTTCATAGTTGGCTGGCTTGCCAAGGCGGACAGTCAAATCGACAACCGATACATTGGGTGTGGGGACACGGAAAGCCATACCAGTGAGTTTACCGTTCAAAGCAGGGATAACTTTGCCGACAGCCTTGGCGGCACCGGTGGCAGCAGGAATGATGTTTTGGGCAGCACCACGGCCATCACGCCACAATTTGCCAGAGGGACCGTCAACGGTCTTTTGGGTGGCAGTGGTGGCATGGACAGTGGTCATGAGACCTTCAACGATTTCGAAGTTATCGTGGATAACCTTGGCCAAGGGAGCCAAGCAGTTGGTGGTGCAGGAGGCGTTGGATACGACTTTCATGTCTGGCTTGTAGGCATCCAAGTTGACACCGCATACGAACATGGGGGCATCAGCCGAGGGGGCAGAGATGATGACCTTCTTGGCACCACCCTTGAAATGAGCGGAGGCCTTGTCGATGGTGGTGAAGACACCGGTGGATTCAACAACATATTCGGCACCAGCGCTGGCCCAGTTAATGTTGGCGGGGTCGCGTTCACTGAAGACGGTGATGGCTTGACCGTTGACAACCAATTTGCCACCTTCGGCGGCAACGGTACCCTTGAAACGACCATGGGTGGAGTCGAATTTGAACAAGTAGACCATGTAGTTGACATCGATGAAGGGATCGTTGACGGCAACAACCTGGGCGCCCTTATCGATGGCGGCACGCAATACCAAACGGCCAATACGACCGAATCCGTTAATACCGATTTTGGACATGTTGTTGTTTTAGTTATTCACTTTAATAAGAAAACTGGAAATCAGAAAGTCTCTCTGCAACCGTACCGTACAGCTTGCTCTTGCGGAATAAACTGTGCTGTTGTCTAGTTGTGGTTCTTCGCTCATCGACTTTGTACGAATCTTCGTTGAGTTTACAATGCGGGGGGTTGGGTATTTCAATGTCAGTTGAAGGACGTTCATGCAAATCACAAACACACGCACACGACGAAAGAAAGCTTCTCTGTTTGGCGTTCGCCAGCCGGCATTTTATTGAATGCATTAGAAGAGGACGGGTATATCGAAATGTGTGCGCGGCAGGGTGGGGGGTTTGTTTCGCTTTTGACGAACAACGATTCAACGAAAGTGTTTTTAGTCAGAGTTGTTTTTCGTGTGGATGGCAATGTTGCCAGATTGGTGGTGGGTTAGATTTGAGAGATGCTATTGGGGGGGAAATTACGACAAATTTAATTTATATTTTTTTGTTTGAATAAATAAATTGAATAAATTTAATTTTCAATTTAATAATTTACATTTAGATCTCAGATCTCTTAAAATAATTTAATTAATAAAAAATAATATGGGGAAAAATCCCAATTGTGGCACATTTTCCTTTTTTGGGAATTCCAAGTGGGGATGATTTTTTGTTGTTGGGAGTTTGAATTGTTTTCTAATTGAGGGTGAAAATGTACATACATATGTACATATTTACAACGAAGGATATCTGAAGATATCAAAATATATAGAGAAAGTAAATGGTTTTTATATGTACATAGGCACAAAAATGTGTGTATATAATGTTTTACAAAGCCTGTTCCTGTATCCTATCATCTGTTTCAAGGAAACATGAAGGAAATCATTGCATTGTTATGTAGACATAGATGTTATACAAACAATATAGAGTAAGTCCTACTAAATTCATTCAAAATTCCGGAACTCGTATATCCATAGTTATAACATATGAGATCCTGGTTATAATGATTTATACACGTTACGAATTTGGCTTTACAATGTATTCAGTATGGAGGGTATTGTGTGGCCGAACTTTAATTCGACCTTGGCGGCTACATTCTCAATATGAACTAGTTTGTACTTAAGTCCAGTCGGCCGTGGATGACGTTTTTCAGTTTGTTATCATAAATAGCACAAGAGGTCTAGATTATATGGACCTCCTATGATATGGGCCTCCAAGATTTCGTTAGGATCCAAAAAATTTCCCATTTATTTAAAATTAACTATGACAAAATGGATATCAATTTGTAGCTTTTGATGTCCTGATTAAAAGTATTTTTTTCTTAGGAATAGTCTTCCAATGTTGGAAGGGATATTTAAAAAGAGATTCTGTACTCACATCAGTGCTTATACTTCCTCTCATAACGACTTTAACGACATCAGAGTAGAGTTTCCTAGTAGGGTATCCGGGGCTAGTGGCTCCTTATCTCTTACCGTTTGCAGGAGTTTACTGCATGAAACTAGTCATATATATATATATATATATATATATACTTATATATATATACATGTCGATAGTTAGGCGGCCTTAAAGGCATTAAAGTCGTGCACTATTAAATCAAACACGGTTCATAATTGCAAGGATGCTCCTCTTCATGATACACGACGTATGATTAAATTATGTTGGGCTCCAGGACAAACCAACATAGAAGTGAATAAGATAGACGACGAGCTTGTTCCATGGCTACTATAGTATGGAGGGTATATTAATTTTTGGTCTACGTGTGTAACTCATCGAAATATTCATTTCCGACCTTATAAAGTATATATATTCTTGATAAGGGTAAAATTCTAAGACGATCTACCCATGTTCGTCCGTCTGTTGTAATCACGCTATCTTCTGAAATAATTGAGATAGATCGCTGAAATTTCGCAGAAGTTTGTTTTTTGTCTGCAGGCAGGTCAAGTTCGAAGAAGAAGAAGGCATATATCCCATTTTCGGTATTTTGGGGTTCTTGAGCGCGTTTTTCAACCGAATTCGCTGAAATTTGGTACATTGTGTTCTTATTGGGTACTAAATTTCTCCACAAAAAATTGAAAATATAGGTCAACTTTTTCTGTTAGCCCCATATAACGGTACCTCCTAATTTTCAGTATTTTGGGGGTTTTTATTTTTCCACCGAATAGGCTGTTATTTAGTATTTTGAATTTTTAATAGGTATAAAATCTCTCTACAAAAAATTACGATGTAGGCCAATTTCTTCGGATAGCCCCCATATAGGGGTACCCCCAATTTTCGGTATTTTGGGGATCATGAGCGCGTTTTTCAAACGAATTCGCTGCAATTTGGTATTTTGTAGTCATATATGGTAACAAGTCTCCCTACCAAAAATTATTAATTCCCCCTTTTTGTGGTAGTCCCCATATAACCCCCTTTTTATATTAAAATAGTTATCTGATTTATTCCGCGTTTTGGGTTTGGTTTTAAGATTCTATTGTAATCATTTCACCTGCTAGAACGTAAAGTTCGATAATGAACTATAGCCCGCATTTAGGCCTAGCCCTAGCCACTGTGTACCAGAAGGAGTTGACTGATATTCCCCAACTTCGAACTTTAAATACAAAATGTGGAGGCCGTACTTAAAACTTTTTACAATTACTTATGTTTATTTTTTTATTGAACTAAGTTACAAAAAAATTGCTAAACAATTATACAGAAAAAATAACTATCTTTAATTATGATTAACTGATAATCCAAAAAGTAAATCACCTATTTTGCAAAATTTTATAAATGTTTTGGTAACATGCAATTTTTACATGCAATAAAGGTCAACTTGAAATTGATTTGCCAATATCAATAACAAAAAAACCCTGACCTGACCAATAAAATAACAAAAGTTACAATTGTTCTTGACATTTTTAAAACCAGTAGTTAACACATTCAATTTTGGTGATTCCTTGGTGTCACCTCTAAGCAAGTATTGCGTGTATGGATTTTCATAATAAAAATGTTTTTTTTTCTCTCTTTTGACATTGATGTGTCCTTTTTTTCGGCATATTGTAGCAATTTTATTTTGTCTATTTTTGGGAGGGTGCGTATCTGTGTGTATTTTATTAATCAATTTCTGTATACTATTATTGTTCGTTCTCTGCAGCCCACCATCTATTATATGGAAAAAATGTGTGTCTTCTTAATGAATGAAATTGTATGTACACAGAGAATAACAACAACAACTGGCACATGACAAGTATGAAAAATCTCTCCATAACTACCAATTGAAAAAATGTTGTTACAAAATCGTCTTTACTTACTTAGCTGGCTTATGACAGAACGGTTGTTCCATAAGCCGTTTTTAAAAAAGATTTTCAGGCGCGTCGGTCCTGTGCGCTTCCAATTTGAAAAACCCTGTTCCGAGATGTTGTCTTCTACATGATCTTTCAATCGGATTCGTGGCCTTCACCTACTGTGTGGACTATCTCTTGGCTCGCTTTTATATGCCTTTTGAGTGGGGGGATCTTCATCCATTCTTACAGGATGGCCTAGCCAACGTAGTCATTGCAGATCGATCCGTTTATGTCGATGTCCAAGAATATATAGCTCATAGTTCATAGTATAGCTCACGGTTCATTCGACGGAGATATTCACTATCGACGCAGATTGCCCCAAAGATCTTTCGGAGAAATTGTCTTTCAAACACTCCAAGTGCTGCCTCATCTCCTTGCGCAAGTACCCATGCTTCAGATCCATACAACAGCACGAGTAGTATCAGCGTCTTGTAAAGTATGAGTTTGATCTGTCAAGAGGTGGGTGGCCTTGCTTTTGATTTGCTGACTAAGACCATAGAAGCATCTGTTGGCCAACATTATTCTCCTCCGGATTTCAAAGCTGATGTTATTAGTTCTGTACCGTACCGAGGTATGTAAAATCGTTCACTACCTCTCGAAGCTGTAGTTTTCAAGTTCCACAATTGGTCCGAGTTTACTGGACGTCTTGCGCGCTGATACCATACTGCCAGTCCCACTAGGGCAGACTCCTTCTCAATTTGGTCAAATGTGGCTGTTACCGTTCGCAATGTTTGACCCATTATGTCGATGTCGTCGGCATAGTCGGGAAACATATGTTGTTTAGTGTACAGAGTGCCATTTTTTGTTCATATTTGCATCTCGTATGACCTTTTCCAGCAGGATGTTAAAAAGGTCACACGACAAACTGTTACCTTGTCTGAATCCTCGTTTGGTATTGAAGCGCTCTTAGAGGTCCTTTCCTACATTAACTGCTGACATTGTACCAGTTAAAGATATCCTGCATAGCCTATTAATTTTGCAGGAATGCCAAACGCAGACATGGCTTTAAACACCTCCGAACCTATGGGGCTGTCGAATGCGGCTTTATAGTCGACGAATATGAGGAATGTGTCGATGTGTTTTTCGTGTTTTTTTTAGGATCTGGCGCAGAGTGAAAATCTGTTCAATGGCGGATTTGCCAGGCCTGAAGTTGCATTGGTATGATCGAATAATGTCATTGACCATTGGCTTCAGTCGTTCACACAGCACGCTGGGTAGCACTCAGAGGATTATGTTTGCAGCAAATATTGACGTATATTTTCAAGTCTACCAAGAAAACAGGTATAAGATCAATACAGTTTGTCGGTAATTTTGAGAGAACTGCAGGAAAAGCACACGCCAATCCGACCCGAACTTCATGTTGTCAGGTGTCGTTTTGAGACCACTAAGCAGCGAATTGGTTTTACTGGGCCAAGTAAAAACAACAAATTGCCGCTTGAAATAGAAAACTCAAATGCTATTTCTTCTTTTTAAACTAAATTGAAAATAATTATGTTTTTATATTTTTTTAATAAATAAAAATACATTTTTTGTTTACTTTTTTATTCCTGTATTTTTTATTATTGTTTTTTTAAGACAAAAATAACAAATATTTTATTTTTTTTATTTTTCGATTTGTTTTATTTTTTCTTACATTTGTTGTTGCTGTTGATTTATTAATTGTTTTTTGTTGTTGTTGTATTTATTTTTGTATAGAAGAGACTATAATCACAATTAAAAATGTTTTTAGGTGTT